AGAATCAGGAAGAGTCAGGCTTGAATGCCATGAGAGAGAGAGCTGTTTTAACAGAGGTCAAGTGGCTGAATAGGGGGTCTGTGGAAGCCACAGCCAGACCTCAGGAGCATCAGCAGTGCCAGTAGGCACCCAGGAGGGCACATCAGCCAGGCAGGACCAAGAGGCACTGACCGAGCCAAGATGGACAAACCCAGTTTATACAAGTCCCAGGCTCCTTAGCAGATGCCAATACAACACCCCAGTTATACCTCAAGGGCCATTAGGGTGCCCATCTACTAGCAAAATCACTGGGGATGGGAAAGGGCCCACCCTGAGAAGAGAGCCTCCTCTACCAGGTTTAAGAGACCCATACTACTCACCACGTTCCAGAGGCTGTCTTGATGAGCAACAGGGAGTGGGCCCAGACTGAACCTTTTTACCAAAAGGTGCCAAACACCTTTTAACATTATCTTATTAGAATAATTCTACCGGATTAGACTAAAATTGTGGGGTTTCTTTTCTTTCTTTCTGGCTATCTTACAAGACAGAGGCTCACATGGACAACAAACAAGAGATTGCTTAGAGGAAAAATGAAGACATTAAATTTTTCTTTACACGTCTGAGTGTAAGAGGAGTTAAAGTTTAGCAATCCTCTAGAACTCTTTCAACAACAGTTTAAATGTTAACTGCCCTGTAATTGGAGACTACAGTTTCATGTATTTGAGGTTCATAGGCTTCGTCCATTCAGACCACTCCCACTCCCACCCATGGTGAGCTGGCACCTGCTGTAATGGTGGCTGCACTGGAACAGCCATGCTTCCTCACAGCCTACATTCTAAAATTTCTCACTAGTTCTTTTTTTTTAAATTTTTTTTTAACATTTATTTATTTTTGAGAGACAGAAAGAAACAGAGCATGAGCAGGGGAGGGGCAGAGAGAGACAGGGAGACACAGAATCCGAAGCAGGCTCCAGGCTCTGAGCTGTCAGCACAGAGCCCGATGCGGGGCTTGAACCCACAAACTGCGAGATCATGACCTGAGTTGAAGTCAGATGCTTAACCAACTGAGCCACCCAGGCACCCCACAAATTTCTCACTAGTTCAGAATCAACTATGAGGCCGCCTTTCCCTGTGCTGTTACTTCAGCATCCCCAACCAACACCCTGCCCTAATCACCTACCCACACCCACACACACACGAATGAGAAAAAAGTCACTTATAGGTCACTTGATTTGGCTTTCGTTTTGAATAAAATACCATGACTCTTATTTTTTTCTCCCTAAGATTGTACCTTTGACAACCTATTCACTCACTTCAAATTATCTATAAAAGTTATTTTGTATAGAACAGGAATTTTGTTTCCTCAAATTAGCCTAGAAACCTGCAGCAGCTCCATTTCCCATCCTGCTTCAAATATTCTTTTCTAAATGGAAAAAAAGATCCACAAAATGCATTTACACAGAATTGCGTGTCATTGAGATACTAAGTGGCTTCTTTGCATAATTTTACAGAGACTTAGAAGATAGCACATTAGAGGGACCCGACGCAAAACCACATACAAAGACCGGAATAGCCTTCAAATATCAAAAAGACTATTAAAAGAAACATAGGACAGGATTTTCAGCTTGTGAGTGGACAATGCAAATTAATGAATCAAGAGGACTTTAGAGGGCATTTCAGTAGAATGGATAAAAATGTTTTAACAGAGCACAATGAACAACACAGGTCTAAGAATGACAGAGAAGAATGGAAAAATTTTTTGATGCAAACAGGAAGAGAACTAAGTTACAAACACTAAGACAGACATGAACTGGAGACATTGTGGAAGTTTTTGGTCAAGGTAGGACTTGGGCTCCCCCTTGGGGGGGGGTGGGTAGAATTTGACTAGAAATGGAAAGAGGAAGAGGAAGGAGCAGAATATCACAGGGACATGAGGGAATAAAAAGGTGTGAGATAGAGGTGAGAATGAATGGAGATCACCAGATGAGAGCATAAGTTACCATGGGGTCACATGCATCGAGCCACACGAAGGCTGTGCCATTACAGCTTGAAGAAGACATTGTCCTTGGGCACCTTTTCCCTGACCAGAATTTTTTTCAAGTCTGGATAACCTAAACCTAGCCTTTCCAAAATATGGCCAAAAATTTTACCCTGAGAGGTAGGCTTAGAAGTCTAGTATAGAAAAAATGGTACACACACACACACATTACATATATATACATATGTATATATATATATATATATATACATACACACACACACACATATATACATATACACATACATACACATACATATGTATCTCCCTCCAGAATAGACTTGCAGTGGTTCATTAATTTTATCTTTTAATAGTTAGTACTTACAATATGGGACAGATGGATCCATAGCTCCCCAATGACAATTTCCCCAGAGGAATTGCCACTCCTAATGCACATGTTCACATCACCACCAACAAAAAAATATCTGCTGATAAACAAGACATGCTCCGGCGATTCTCAACTCCAGAGGCATGACATTTGTGTTCAGGGACTGGGGTGACAAAAAACTGCAAGTAATCTGGAATTAATATTAGGAAAATTTTGAAAATAATTTTTAGAACTAGAGTAGACTCAGGCTTTCCCCATAACAAGGTCATCTCCGGTCTGCTTGCTAAGTCGGGAAGAAAGTGTTAGAGCTGAATCAGGAGGAATGCTTGCAAGTTTATTTCAGCTGCCCTTATGCCCCTGTTAACCTATGCATGCTCATGAGATTGCACACACTTCCATGTTGGGTTCAGGATGGGAAGTGCTTAAGAAGAGCTGCTGGAGGGGCGCCTGGGTGGCGCAGTCGGTTAAGCGTCCGACTTCAGCCAGGTCACGATCTCGCGGTCCGTGAGTTCGAGCCCCGCGTCAGGCTCTGGGCTGATGGCTCAGAACCTGGAGCCTGTTTCCAATTCTGTGTCTCCCTCTCTCTCTGCCCCTCCCCCGTTCATGCTCTGTCTCTCTCTGTCCCAAAAATAAATAAACGTTGAAAAAAAATTTTTTAAATAAAAAAAAGAAGAGCTGCTGGAGAATGCCAGTCCCACAGAGTCCAAGCCCGTCACAGCCATCTCTAATGCCAGTCCCACAGAGTCCAAGCATGTCACAGACATTTCTAGCTTCAAAAGCACAGCACTCCCTCTTGGAAAGCTTGTTAAAGTTTATTAAAATGTTCTTTGACTTTGCTCAGGAAATTCTACCTCCATTGAAAGCATATCATGGCTAAGGAACATTTTCCGTACTTAGAAAACTCAGGGAAAAATTACGTTTGAATTTTGCTTCACCATTCCAAGGTCCTCTATACACAGTGGTGGTGTCAAATTCACAACTATTCCCAAGTCAGTCTAACATTTTTATAGTTTCTGTTTACAAGGTCTTAGAAGAGGGAGGTAGAATGGCCTCCTAACTCCTGGAACACACTCGAGCAAGTGTTACAAAGCATGGGTGTTTATAGCTAGACAGACATGGATTCAAACCCTAACACTCAACTCACCACTTGTGTGACCTTAGACAGGTGACCTGACCTCTGTGCCTCAATTTCCTCACTTACAAAATAGTGATAATAAGAACGGTGTTCTAGAATTCATCTGAAGATGAAATAATAAATATAAAGCAGTTAGCATAGTTCCTAACATAAAATGTGTTTCTAATATCAACCTATTAGAACAGTGTCTCATTAATATTCTAACACTTATTTCTTTTCTAAAAGCCTGGATTAACTGTTCAGTACTAAGTGTCTTTGTTTTTTTAACAAGAGCAACTCATCTTTGTGATGATTGTTTCTCTTTGAACCTACTCTTCCTACCCATGAGATGAGAGTAATACCTCTCGCCCTGCCATCTCAAGACGGGAGACAGTCAACCGTAAGTATGGGAACACATTTTGAAAACTGAATACGTAAAAGTTATTGATGGCAAATTTTAATCTGAAATACATTATTCTTTTTTTTTTTTTTTTAATTTTTTTTTTTCAACGTTTATTTATTTTTGGGACAGAGAGAGACAGAGCATGAACGGGGGAGGGGCAGAGAGAGAGGGAGACACAGAATCGGAAACAGGCTCCAGGCTCCGAGCCATCAGCCCAGAGCCTGACGCGGGGCTCGAACTCACAGACCGCGAGATCGTGACCTGGCTGAAGTCGGACGCTTAACCGACTGCGCCACCCAGGCGCCCCCTGAAATACATTATTCTGAAATAGGCATATCATGAATGCTGTGGAGAAACAAAGACATGTCAGGCAGCACCATATCAGGACTCAAGACCTGTTCCTAAGCCTTCTCTAATGAGTTTTAATTCATTTTAATCATATAGTGATTCAATATCTCCATGTGATAGTGATTCACGTGTTTTATTTGCCAAATGTTGCTTCTTGATTATTTTCAGAAAGGTTTTTGAGCTCTTTCTTAGGAAAGTCACGACTTGAAGAGTGGATTATATGTCAGTTATTATTTTAGTCCAATCTAAGCCAAATTGTATTTATTCCTAATCTAGATCACTACTCATAGAGTGATGATTAAATCAGAAGCGGCTCGTGGTACAGCTGGTGAGACATGAACTTCTGGGATTTGAATACCAGTTCAGTCATTTATTAGCTGGATTTAATTGCCAGCAATTTCTTTTACCTTTCTTTTTTTTAATTTTTTTAAAATGTTTATTTATTTTTGAGACAATGTGAGAGACACAGTGCAAGCAGTGGAGGGGCAGAGACAGAGGGAGACAGAATTCTAAGCAGGCTCCAGGCTCTGAGCTGTCAGCCCAGAGCCCGACGCGGGGCTTGAACTCACGAACCGTGAGATCATGACCTTCGAAGTCAGACGCTTAACCGACTGAGCCACTCAGGCGCCCCTCTTTTACCTTTCTGAACTTGCATCTGAGAAATGGGAATGGGACAACTATCTCCTCAAGGAGATAGTGGTCTTCAAGAGCAGGGCACGGTCCCTAGAGACAGTAAACATTCTCTGAATGAGTATAATTTTATAATGGAACAAAAAAGAACATCTACTTACAGCTCACAGATGCCAGCTTTGGCAGGAATGAGAGGCACAAGTTGCAGTAAAAGTTTGACACCATTCTGCCATTCTTCTTCTCTTTCAAATTCACAGTACAAATAGCTACATTCATCAGATGAAAACTGGTAGAAAACATAGGTATCTTGAAAGTATAAATTCTGGTCCACTGTTGGAAACAAAAAAAGGGGTGGGTCCGTTTCTCAAAGTATATTATTAACAGAGTCATAAACCAAATAATAAATTGAAAGCCCTACTAATTATTATGAGAACCCAGGGGAAGGACTATAATTATATATTCTAAATCCATTCATGTTTACAATCCCACTGAATTAAAGGGGACTTACTGACCAACCCAATTTTTATTACTTGAGGCCTTAGCCAGCATCTTCATATGTATTTTATGACTTATGTGCTTCAGAGACAGGTGAAATCAGTAGCAATTCGAAAAGTGGGGAGAATTTTTTTTTTACATGTCCCAAGGCAAACTAATACGTTTAATTACATTAGTCATATACAAGTGTAACACTATGACAAGTTTCAAACCAGTGGTTCTCAATTGGGTGGGGGGGGGAGGGGTAATGACTGTGCCCCCAAGGGACACTTGGCAATGTCTGGAGACATTTTTGGTTGTCATTACTAGAGGGTGCTACTGGCATCTGGTGCTAAACATCCTGTATGTACAAGACAGGCCCCTACAACTAAGAATTATCTAGCAAAAAATATCAATGCTATCAAGGTTGTTTTAAAAGAAATCAAGGACTGATCCAAAAATACATTAACACGTAATTTTTTTTGCTCACCACTAACATGAACCTCACAAGCAAGCAGGTAACATTCTTCAAAGATAGTCACTGATTTTCAATGTGAGAGTATCAGGTGCTAGGTGTTAATAATGCCTTGAAATTACACCCACATCCCCATCTGTACTCCTCTTGCACACTGGCACGTGGGGTATGCCTTTCTCAACCTTACTATGTTCTCTGACCCTCAAGATTTATTACTTAGAGGGAAAAAGGGGCTTCCTAGTGACTAACTAGAACCTTCATGATAGAGCCAAATAAAGAATCTGGATTGCTTGACTTCTAATTCTTCAATTCCCAGGGCTCAATTAGGAAAAGAGATATCTGCCATCTATTTTAGTTGCTAGTTAACATCAATTTTGTGCTCTTTTTAAACAGCTAATTTTCATAGGTCATATCTCTAATTGTTCATGATTAGTCAATTAAATGGCATACACATTCCACTCATAAAATCAGTTTCTGATAATTATTCTAAGTACACCTAGACAAATCACACATTTAGAACAACTAAAGATGTCTCTGATTAAAAAAAAAAAAAAAAATAACAACTGAGGGGCCCCTGGGTGGCTCAGTCGGTTAGGTGGCCGACTTTGGCTCACGTCATGATCTTGTGGTTCGTGCTCTGTGCTGACACCTCAGAGCCTGGAGCCTGCTTCAGATTCTGTGTCTCCCTCTCTCTCTGTCCCTCCCCTGCTCACGCTCTCTCTCTCTCTCTCTCAAGAATAAATAAACATTTAAAATTTAAAAAACAAAACAAAAAAATCTGTTAGGAGCCTTTTGGGTAGAGGAGAAGGTAAGGGAAAAACTCTTACAGGTAGTAGTCTGTGAATCAGCAAGTACCTAATTATTTTTATAAAAGATGTGCAAAATAACCGTCAAAAGATGACTGGTCACTTTTAGTTACAAAATATGAGAGAATGCAAACATTTACCTGCAAAAGCAATTTCCATCCAGATTGTAACATCCTCTAGAAAAGTCAAGTAAATTTTGTTCTGGTAGCTTAATAAAATAATGCTCTGTGCTTTCAAAACATATGATACTAACCTGATAACATAATTCCCATATCCAGTAGGAGCTGCCAGACCCCTATGGCCATAGATCTGCACTGGACAAAGGGACAGTGTTCTAGAAGCCAGTCTACCAGCTCTGACCCAACACAGCTCCTCCTGAACAAAAGGGAAGCCATTCATGGTTAAGACATTGTTGCAACTCATTTGCCAAATAATTGATATTTAATATCATCCGTTTCATAAGCTTTTTTAAACAAGCGACTCAATAATAATGAATCGGCACCTCTTACTCATCTTTCCAATTTCAGCTGAAATATCACTTCCTCAGGAACACTTGGAATCATATCCTCTTATACTCTTGCTTCAATCACCCAACGTTTAGTAATTGTACATCTTTCCAAATGAATACTATCTGCTTTCCTCACTTCAGAATCATTTTCAAGATATCAGCAACTATGTATATACCTCACCGTTAGACCCCCAAAATTACAACAGTTCAGATACACAGGTAAGCTCTCAATACACATTTGAATAAATGAAGGAATAAATTTAGCAATGCTTTATATAAAGATAATGCTTCTGCCTTGGTAAAACAAGTACCTCAAAAAGTGATGGCGATCAACTTTTGTTCAACTCTTTACAGATTCTTATCTAGTCTTTTGAGAACCAATTAATTCCAAGATTACTCAAAGTTGGGACCATAGAGAGTGCTAAAGAGTTTTGTTTGCTACTCTACAGATTAAATCCTCAAATTTGTCTCCAAGAACAATAAATATGACCATTAATCTTTTCAATATAGTCTAAGTGATATGGCCATGCAGCCTAGATCACAAACCCATAAACCCAGCTGTGCGTGATAGACTCCACTCACCACATATGCAAAAATATCCTCTGCAATCTGTTTTAAGATCCACAACTGCATTTGAAGAATGCCCCAATCTGGGCACTACAAGCAGTATTTTCATGCCACTTTTCCATCTTTATCAGCCTCAAATGAAAAACCACAAGAAGACAAGTTCCTGAAATATGGTTTTTCATTTGCAAAAATCTCACTGAAAATTACTCTCCCTTAAAAAAAAGTCACCAAGATGTTTCGTTTAAAAAAATGTATCATGTAAATGGTTATCTTTATTCAATGTTTGGTATTTAAGAACCTAAACATGTCAATATTTTATTCCTAAAACAGAAACATATTGCCATGAGATGTCGTATTTTCAGGTGTGAAGGAAAAATAAGCTTTTCTTACTGAGATATCTGGTTTTGGGGTTTTGAGTTTTTTTTATGCACAATGTGGGGCTTGAACTCATAACCCCAAATATCAAGTCACAAGCTCTACCAACTGAGCCCCTCTGTTAAGATATTTCAACAAATATCCCAGCTTGGGTAAGTCTAACTTTTTTTTTGGTAAAGTGCCACTATTTGAAAGGTACTCTAAGGTGATTAGGGCAACACCAGACATGTTCACTTGAAGGTTAGCTTTAAGACATTAGAAAGATTAACTGTCAAATAAATGGATGTTTTCTGAAAAAAGAGAAAACAGATTGCAATAAACTAGGCAATTAGACAAAACAGTCAATATTAACTTCTAATTCTATAAGACACCTTTTATGTTAAAGGCTCAAAGTGTTAATTAATTCCTCAACGCCTCTGTCAATTAGCCAGCATCTTTGGGCTTGTAAAGTACTTTTATCCCAGGGATTTAAACACTGTATTATTGTAATCCTTTTCTCAGAACAATCCAGTCCTCAGTCTGTTCTCACCTGGAATAGGACACAACCAAACATTTACTAACAAACTAAAGAGGCAACTTGCAAAAGGTGACTAGGTGGGTGAATACGTTTGCTTGCTCGCAGATGATGGGGAACAAGTTTCTTAGACTGGGGCTTCTCAAAAGTGTGTTTAGAAGCACATGGGGGATTTGGTTAATGTGTAGATTCTGATGTAGTATGGCTGGATGGGGCCCAGGTGATGCTGGGAGCCCCAGTTCCCCAGCTCTACCTTCTCCATGGGAAGGGCTCACTCTGTCTTGGGCAGCGGGGCTGAGTCTATATTCCCAAACAGGATATTGCCATGACAACGCTAGTTAATAAGAGCTCCCCCAACCCCCAGCCAGCAAGCTATGGTTTCAGTTGCCCATGATCCCTTTCTTCTCTATCCCCAACTTTATCAAATTATGTTTCAAATATCCTTCATTAATCCATCTACACCAGGGAACACACCATTAGGGATAGGGATAAACACTATTAACATCACCAAAGCAAACAAAATGAGGTGAGGTGCCCCTGCATTGAACTCCCACTCCCCTGACTTGCTGGCCAGGTCTGCAACAATCCAGCTCCCATACCCAAACCTACAGGACTTAGGGGAGAGCAGCGAGGAAAAAAAGGTATGCATGGAAGGCAGCAATCTCAACACCCGCAGCAGTTCTTACTCCAGCCTTGTACTGAATCCAGAAACCGTTGTGGGTACATGTAGATCTAACTACAGTTGCAACACTAGGTGGGAACATTCGATATGGAGGTGATTAGCTATAAGGCCAGTGTGGCTGTTACAACAAAACATTAATTTGACCCATTTCTGGAGCTGAAAATTTGATTTCTCCTGGTCTCCTTCTGCCTCCAGTTGCATTTTTAGCAATTAATTCACGGTACTGCAGACAGGACCCTAATCTCAAATGTAAATGGGGTGATGGTATTTAGAGACCTATTTGAAGTCTCAGAAACCAATATGATTTTTCTTCGAGTGCAAAAGCAATAGAAAACATCTCAACATTTTGAAAGTAATTCTCATGTAGTACATGGGGAACACCTTACCTTGATTTACTACCAAATGAAAAGGACTCATCCTAGGCAACCATATTAGCACTTTATCTTTAAACCCAAGGCACTAATTAAATCCTTGGTTAATTAAAAATAAGAAGTTCTGGCCCAACCACTGGGAATCTGAAATAGCACAGCACATGCTCTCTCCCCTTTCTACTCCCACTGAACACTAAATATGTTCTAAGTGACATGGATGGTTCTTTTCCATGAACCTTATTAATGTATATCTCCCAATGCTTTTTTCCCTTCTATATCCATGGAGACCACATAAAGAAACTGAGGACAATGACAGATCTTACACATAGCCTTGTGTGGTAGGTAAAATGAATC